TGTTATTATTTGACTTTAGGAGTAAAAGGAAAGATGTAGATAGGTATCATACAAGACATTTTTAAAACTCTTATATTAAAAGGTGTTATGATGAAATTATTTAACCTTCTGGGGAAGTATGGAAAGGTTAAAGTTAGCAGCTGTCTAAGACTACTGTTTTGTCTTCTTTTCTGAAATATTTTAGATAAACACATGTGTTTTGGTAGTAATAACAGAAGAAAACATTCCTTGGCATTGTGAGTAGCCTATATATCGCATTAACTGGCTTAGGGCAGTTAGTTAAAGTCTACACACTAGAGAACACAAAACATAATCAGTGCAACCCTATCTCTCTTTTAATATACTTTTCATTACAATTCAGAGCCCTCCAGAATGTATTTTTTAGCTGTGTAATTCTAAAGTTAAAAATTCGTTTTAGATTTTTTTCAATGGAAAAAGAACAAGATATCTAAGGATGTAGAAATCTGCTGGAGTTTTTTGATAAATTGGCTACACATTCCCCTCCCCTCCACCACTCATTAATCTCTCACAAGGTTTCAAACACAAAATGACTCTGATGACTGCTTCACCTCCTTTAAAGCATTTCATGTGCTCAGACATCCCTGTGCATTTGCAAACCTCAGTGAATGGTAGCAGCTATGGGAATATTTTTTGTTGTTATTTAGTTGAAGTTAATGCTAACTATAAAACGAACTCAGCAAGTCTTTAAAATTGCTATAATTGTTTTTCATTGACTTTTCCTTTTAGAATTAAATTACTTCTGCCAAATGTCTTAAGTTTTTGAGAAAGATCATATTTGACCCGAAATCCCCTATCTTTGTTTGAGTCAAATTGTTTTGTAGGCGTCCACCTTTTTGTTTCTAATTTGTGGTAAATGTATAGGTAACGAAACATTTGTCTTTTCAACAGTCTTCACACGTACAGTTCAGTGACATTGAATATGTTCACCATGTTGTTCAACCATCACGTCATCCTTAACCATTCCCAAATTTTTCCATCATCCTTAAAAGACTTTCAGTGTCCCCTAAGCATTGTATCTTCCTTTCGTGTACCATCCTGCCCGCCTGTGTTACCACCAATGAACTTTGATCTCTATATACTTGCCTGTTCTAGACTTTTCATATAAGTGAGATCATACAATATTTGTCTTTTCTGTTAGACTTATTTCATTCAGAATAATCTTTTCAAGGCTCATCCATGTCGTTGTAAGTATCAGAACTTCATTTCTCTTTATGGCTGAGTGATATTCCATTTGTGTATGTACCACATTTTGTTTATCCATTCATTGATGAATATTTAGCCTGTTTCCACCTTTCAGGCATCCATTTTTATAACTCATAATGTGAATAAGACTTTAGTGGTTTTCTTCTGCATCTTACACTGATTTGTCTGGTTCATACATGCTACAGTTCTTCTTGCCCACAAAGCAAGGATCATTGCTCCACATATGTTGAAAAATGAGAGGTATATTTTCTTGTCTTAAGAATAGCACACATTGTATTGTTCAAATGTACTATACTAAAGGTACTAACCATTATTTGTTTTAAACTCTTTCTTACATACAAAGGTAGATGGAATGGCGCAAAAGTAAAGGAAGAGCAAGAAGGCGGAGCATGCAGTCTCTGCTACGAATTTAAGCTCTCCATTTCTTTTTCACTGTGGTTAGGGCAGGCTAAAGTGTTCTGAATCTTCTTGCTAGTTGCTACTGAGTTAGTACCGACCCTATGTACAATAGAAAGCAACACTGCCTGGTCCTGCACCATCCTCATGATGTTCGTTATGCTTGAGCCCATTGTTGCAGCCACTGTGTCAATCCATCTCATTGAAGTTTCTCTTCTTTTTCACTGACCCTCTACTTTACCAAGCGTGATGCCTTTTTCTAGAGAGTGGTCCCTCCTGATAACATGTCCCAAGTATGTGAGACGAAGTCTTGCCATCCTCACTTCTAAGGAGCACTCTGGCTGTACTTCTCCCAAGACCTATTTGTTCATTTCTTTTGGCAGTCCAAGGTATATTCAATATTCTTTGACAACACCATAATTTAAAGGCGTCAATTATTCTTTGATCTTCCTTATTACATTGTCCAGCTTTCACATACATATGAGGCAACTGAACACATCACAGATTGGGTCAGGCGCAACTTAGCTATTCAAATGATGTTTGTTTCTGTTTCTTTCTCATCATTTAGAGATACTCCTGCTTCCCACTCCAACTCTGAGGTGGAGAATGCAAAAAGGGAAAAAAATTGGCTACTATTTGAATAAAGTAAGCATTTGTTTCTTGAAAACTAGCCTCCAGTCTAGAACACACATAGTTCTTCCTAGTAATCAGGAAATAGTCTCTGAACAATGGGTGGTCTAAGCCATCTAACAGAAAAAAGAGAGGAGGAGAAACCTCACCAGAAAATGTACACTTAAGGGCTAACAGTTTAATTATAAATGAGAAATTGTTGTGTTTAATTGTTGCTTTTCCTGAAAACGTACATACTTGTAGATTATATATAAAAATATAATCTTAAATTTTTTTAATTTTCTTAGTTATTTTTTTCCAGTTGCTATCATGTAGCTTAGAAATTTCCATCATGTTGAAATACTCCTACTTTTAAATCTACTGCTCCAAAATTGAACTCTCCTGTTTATTTGAGCTATATCATTTCTATTGGTAATACTCAGACTATTTGTGAATGATTAAATCAGTTACTTTAAATAGCTGTTCTAAAAATGGTCACTAATTATTTCTTAGAAAACCAGTGTCTTTTTGTAAGCATAAACATATCTTTTTAATCTTTGAAAAAAAAATCAAAGTATTTTATGTTGGGCAGCATTTTGCTATTTCTTTTTAAACATGAATGAATTTACATTTTACTTTGTCAGGAATCTAATTTTAAAGACTAAGATAGGAAAGTTTTGCTAACAGAGAAGTGTCAAAGTATAGACTTTTAATATAGAATAGTATATAAGCACAGGGTGTCTGCTTCTCCTGTTCCTTATAACAGGAGCTGTTTGGTCCATGTTACATTTAACTGTCCTCTAATGAATTATAGGAGCACTGGTGGCGCAGTGGTTAAGAGCTTGGCCGCTAACCAAATGGTCGGCAGTTCGAATCCACCAGCCATTTTTCGGAAACACTGTGGGGCAGTTCTACCCTGTCCTATAGGGTCGCTATGAGCTGGAATCAACTCAGTGGCAATGGGTTTTTGGTTTTAATGAAATATACGCCTTTTCCAGCAGCTGAGGGCTTGTAATCCATTCCATCTGCTGTATAACTTCTCAACAGAAAAGAGAATTTGAGGCCTGAGTATCAGAAGCAGAGATTACATCTGAAAGGAAACTTTTGGACTTAAGGTTATTGAACACTAAAACTGGTTAGTAAGAGAGGCTATGCTTTTTTTTTTTCTCTTATCGAATGTTTGAATAGCAACAGAAAGCTGGCTATAGGATTACTTAGATGGAGTGTTTCATTTAATCATCAAGTTTACAATTTTCTCTTGCTATACCAAGTGGAATACAGGTGTGCTTGGCATGAAAATTCCAGACTTGTAAGTCAGATAATTTGGGCTAATTATTCACACATCAAAATGATCTTTAGTATTACAGAGGATCAGTGCCTTTAAATTAGTGAAATTCCTTGAGACTTAAAAATGGCATTTGAATTAATATGATTAGACTCATCTGTTTAGGAACATATCATCTAGTAGATCAAATATATTGGTTTTTTGCATTACAATGAGATTTTTTTTCTAACATCAAGCTTTATTTTCGTTGATATATTTCAGTTATTTCAAAAGATTTGGGGTCATATTGTAGAGAGATATTTATTGCACACCAGTAACTTATAGAGAGAAAGTTTTGCTGTTCCTTTCAATTTTATCCTGATGAAAACAAAAGAAACTTCACTACTTGCAAACTCAATCAAGATGTGAGAAATCCTAAACTGTTGGATAAAAATCTTCATGTGTGCATAAATACACAGTAACCTACACATAGATCTTTAAGTGGCACATCATAGAATTTGCATGTCATCTGAGTCAATAAATTATTAATTAGCAGGATATGTTCATAGAAACTGATTTTTTCATTTAATCCTTACTCCTTCTCTAGAAGAAAACTGGACCTGGATCTTGTGAACATTTTGCTTCCACTTGAGTGTTTCTTTTAAAAATGGATTCTCTGTACATGGGCCTCAATTTCTTTTATAAGGGCTTTCATAATACTTTCAAAGAAGGACTAATAGTAGCTGCCCTAACTTTCTCACAGGTTTGTTACAAAAATCAAGTGAAATAATGTATGTGGATGTACCTTTAAAACTGAAATCTCCCAGGTAACACATCTTCATTTCATGATCCATCTGAATTCTCTTTTAACTATACCAAAACAAAATAAAACAAAACAAACCCATTGCTGTCGAGGAGATTACAACTCATAGCCACCCTATAGGATAGGGTGGAACTGTCCCATAGGGGTCCCAAGGAGCAGCTGGTAGATCTGAACTGCCAAAGAGCTGACCTATCTTTCGGTTAGCAGCCGATCTCTTAACCACTGTGCAACCAGGACTCCGTTTTAAAGATAAGGAGGTGGTTAAGGCCAGTAGATCTGGAAGCATTCCCAACTGATTTCCTAAAGAGCAGGGAACTCAGCCTGCAGTGACGCCATTGGAGATGAAGGTGGGAGCAGGGGGCAGGGTTAGTAGGCTTACCAATTGCCATCTCTCTGTACAAAACTCCATCAACCACATCATCACGTGTGCTTCTGCTTTAGAGCTCTTCACCAAGAAGTGATTCCTCGGTTTTCTAGCAGGGGACTACAGTCACAGGCAGTCTTTTTGTCATTAGTTCCAAAGTGTAGCCCTTGGGTTTCTGAATGGCAATTTTGTATTATACTCTCCGATGTATTGCACCATGATATTCAAATGCTTCTAGATATAACTTCTTAAGAATGCTAAATGTCTTGCCAGAATGAGTTAAAGTTTAGTGAAAAGAATCTAAAATCTTTGTATGTATTTTGTTTCATTTCAGGGTGGTATCCACATGCCATTCTTCAGTGATTGCAGTTTTTGCCTATATATTTTATTATCTGATGGAGCTCTTATAGCTGATCCACTTGGGTAAGCTGTTTATTTCTAAGATAGTCCATTTCATTTCTATTTTTATAATAATTATTAATAAGAACACTTCTTACTTTAAAACATAAAGCATAGAAATGGTATATGTTTTATGGAAATGTATGTGTCCAAGATTTATTTCAGCAAGGTGCCTTAAAATTGTTTTAGATTTGAATACATACAATGAAGGCCATTTTGACATAGTATTTCAATTGTTGTCAAAAATAGGGAGTATATGATGATGGTATAAACATTTTTACTGTTAGTGAATAAAACCAGGTTATCGTAAATACTGTTCTGAGTAAAAATGAATTATTATTGACATAGCTTACTCAACTTGGATAACAGCTACTTAAGACTTAGACTTCAAATCCATAAATTTTTAGCCATCAATTGATATCAAAGAGATGAAATTTGAAAATTATTGATGGCTATGTGAGAATAATTTAGCACCACATGAGAAGATTTGAGGCATTAATAATAACTGTGTTCATCAATAATAGGATGATCTGTCAGATGGTTCCTTTTAAAAAGTTTAAACTCATTCCAGTAATAGCAATTTTACAAAACGTATTTCCTTGTGCTATATGAAAGTTTTAGTTCAGCTTAGTTTGAGAGATGAGATGTGTTTTGAGAAAGTACTGCACTGGGATGTGGTCGACATGGGCTCTGGGGACAAGTTGACCAGGCATTTTGACCACCACTGTTTGCAAAGTTCTTGTGTTTCAGTCATCAATATGGAATTGTTCCTACCAGTATTATTCCAGTACTGATGAATTTTAATTGGAAAGCTATTTTTCAGAGTGTATCAATTTAGTGAATTTAATTCCTTGACCAGGTTTCCATATAGTCTACCTAAACAATTTCTAGATTTTTTTTTTCATTTTTATTTTATTTAGATGATCTTCAGAAGAACAAATCTTTTGGGTTATAAATTTTACAACAAAGATGACTCATTGATTAATTTTTTTCTTAACAAACTTCTACTTATTGTTTTTTTATATTTTTACATTTTATGCCATAATGTATTCAGTTCAATTTTCATGTGTTATAGTTTTCAGATCCAAATTTGTAAAGAAGACATGATTTGTGCTAAATGTTTCCATTTGTAGTTTTAGATGCTGACAGTCTTATTTTGTTATAAATGACACCTACTTTTTTTTTTTTTTTTTGTCTGCTGAGATTTAAATACTTCACCATTCGTTCACATTATAAATCAGATAAAGGACTGATCACTTATGCTTATTTCTTGGAGCAAAGAGCATTAGTAGGGAAAAGGGCAGGATATTGATATATGTAGATGTTGAAACAGCTGTCCTACTCTGATTATTTCCTAAACATATGATAATAGGCAAGTCCCTCTAGTCCTCAGTAAAATGATGATGATTATAACATATTGCTTCAAAATCAGAGGCTGGATCAGATGATTTCTTGAGGTACTTGTGTCTCTGATTCCGAATAAGGAGTCAAAAAAATCACATCTACATTTCCATTTGGATCATCTTGCAAACAAATCATTTGAGAACACATTTATAAAAAGTTATCTTTTGGCTAAATTATCTTAGTAAAACTTTTAGCTAATATATATGAGAAATTATGGTCATTTGTGCAGTTGGAAGTATTATTATAGCTAATAAAGCATTTTGTGCATTCCATGGTTTAGAATGGGATCTAGAATCCTATTGAGACATTCCTTAGGTGACTGAATACACCGGAGTGACAACTGTAGTGGGACCTTAGATATCCTCCAAGCCCATCATAAATTCCACTGGTGGTGTCAATGATGTCTTCTAAATTCTGGAGAAAAAAATCAAAAAAACAAAAACCCTTGTTTTACCCCCCTGGACTTGGAGATTTCGAGAATAGTTCTTAAAACTTATCTTTTGTACAAAATGCATTGGGAAATTTTAGCTACCCTTAGGAGGTATGAAGTCTTTTAATTTGGGGACCTCGTTATGGATTGGCTTTAGGTACTTTAGAGGATTTGAGCCTAGTCTGAACTCCAAGAGTTGATGATTTATTCTCAAGGAAATTTTGGAGACTAGCTGGAGCCTACAGTAAACTTCAGGGAAATTATGGACTACAGAAGATCTCTTGATTAAAATGAGTCATCTTGGACAGGAAGGCTACAAGATTTCCTCAGGGGCTGTGGGTTGAGATAGTCCTAGGAACAGTATATGCCTGCTAATACTAGTACTACAGGATCTTTTTAGTTCTGCTAAACTGTTATGTGTTTTACGATTTGTATTTGTTTTGTAGTATATATTATTCTTGGTTGGCAGTATTTTTCTTTCAAGATTTTATAAATGTCATCCTATACCATGCTTTGCCTGTATGGTTTCTGCTGAGTTATCAGAACTTAGTTTTACTGTTTCCCTTATGTATCTGACTTTTCGTTTTTCTCGAGCCGTTCTCAGGATTCCTACTTTGTTTTTTGGTTTTGGTGAGTGTGATCATGATATGTCTTGGTGTTTTTCTTTTGGGGTCTATCCTATATGGGGTTCGTTGAGCTTCTTGGATAGTCAGCCTTTAGTCTTTCATGATATTAGGGAAGTTTTCTGTCAGCAAATCTTCAATGATCTCCGTGTTTTCCATTTTCTACCCCAGTTCTGGAATCCAATCACAGGCAATTTTTTACTTTTGATTGTATGCCACATCGTTCTCAGAGTGTCTTAATTTTTCTTCATTCTTTCCCTGAATTTTTCTCAAAGTGGTATCCAAGGATTTGTCTTCAATTTCACTGATCCTGTCTTCCTTTCATTGTTTCAAATTTGCTCCTAAAACCTTCTATTGCACTGTCTATTTCTAAAATCTTGTTGTTTATCTTTTGGATTTCTAATTGCTGTTTTTGTAGGATTTTTAGTTGTTTCTTTATTTTGACATTTTGTTCCTGTATTATTTCCTGATTTCTTCCATTGTTTTGTCTGTATTTTCCATAATTTTGTCTATTTTTTCCTTATCTTTGTCTGTGTTTTCCTTCATCTGTTTGAGAACCCTGAAAATTAGAGTTCTGAATTCCCTAACAGGTATTTCCAGTGCCTTTTCTTCTAGGAGAAGGTCACCTGGTGTTTTATTTTGGTTGCTTTCTGGAGCCATCCTTCCTTGTCTTTTTATATGTTTTGATATTGTTTGCTGTCTCCGGGACATTCAGGAATTATTTCTTCATTTATTGATTGTAGATTTGGTCGTTTCATCCTGCCTTTTTGTTTTGTTTGGTTATGTCCGGGCAGACGGGCTGGGTGTGTTTTGTTGCTTGCCTGTCAGCATGATACTATTCACTGTCTTGTCCAAATGAGTAGGGTAGGTCACTCACCTATGGTGCAGCAGGGCAGGTCCAGAATGGGTGGAGGGACAGGGATAGGTGGTTTGTGGTATGAACTGGGGGTGACAGGGCAGGGCTGGGGAACAGTGCAGGTTTTGGGGGATTGTGTTGGTACCACTCAGGGGTTGGCACTGAGTGCACATTGCAGATAAACTGGAGGAAAAGGAGTAGATGTGTTGTGCAGAGCTAAGTGGGTGAGTGAGTGACAGAAGAGAAACAAAAGATAGAAACAAAGGTAATAAAAAAAAGAGTCAAAAAATGAAGCAAAAATAGTAATAAAAAGAAAAAACATAAATAAAATGGTGATGCTGTAGGATCCAGCTTGCGGGGGTGGGGGAGACCCAGCAGGGCAGTGTGCTGGTGGCTCTCTAGCCAAGCAGTGTGGCTAAGCCTGTCAAGAAGCAGCGTGGGTGGCCCACAGTGCTAGGTGAGCAGGAGAAAAGAAAGGAATGAGGGGAAAGAGAGAGAAGAAACAAACAATCAAATAAAAAAACAGCAACAAAGAAATATGTTGGTGAGTGCACCGGCCATTGGGGGCAGGGCTGAATTGGGGTGGCGACGAGCTGATGTCTCTCTTGCCAAGTGGCATGGCACAACCATCTGGAAGGGGAAGAGGCAGGGAAGGACCTAGGTGGGAGGGAGAAAGAAAAGGAGAAGGGGAAAGATAAGGAAAAATATAAAATATGGCTCTGTGGGTGCTAGCCTGTGGGGATGGTGCAGCTGAGCTGTAAAGCACAGCTTAACAAGAAGTTGGAGGTGACACATGGGGCTGGATGGAGGGGAGAGAGGAAAGTAAGGAAGGGAGAGAGAGAGGAGAACCAATACCAAACAAACAAACAAGAAAACACACAAAAAAACAAACAATAAAAATGGCGCTGAGGAAGCCGATCAGTGTCAGTGGTGCAGACCCGGGGGGAGGGGGTCACATGCAGTGACTCTGCAACTGAGCTGTGCAGCACGACCCCTCCAGAAAGGGTGGGAGTGGTGCAGAAGGCTGGGTGCGGGGGAGAAAGGAGAGGAAGTAAAGCGAAGAGAGAGAGGAGAAATTGAAAAAAAGAAAAGGAAAAAAATAAAGAAAAAGAAAAAAAGGGTAAAGCAAACAAACCAAAAAAATCATAGCCTGACAAAAAGGGAAGGGAATGGCACATGGGGCTAGGTTGGTGGGAGAAAGAAAAGGAAGAAAAGAAGAGAGAGAAACACACACACAAAAAAAAAAAAATTAAAAAAAAACTCAAAAAACAAATTTAAAAAAAAACCCACAGAAAGAAAAACACCCAAAAAATCACAGGCTGTCACAGCTTGGCTGCTAACCAAAAGGTCAGCAGTTCCAACCCACCAGCTGCTCCTTGGAAACCCTATGGGGCAGTTCTACTCTGGCCTACAGGGTCGCTATGAGTCAGAATTGACTCTAGGCAACAGATTTTGTTTGGTTTTGTAAAGAAGGGGAGGAGATGGCACACTGGGCTAGCTGGGAGGGAGAAAGAGTAAGAAGGAAAGAGAGAGAGAAAATTAACAAAAAAATTTAAAAAAACAAAGAAATAAATAGAACAAACAATCAAAAAAAAAAAACAAGAAGCAAACAAACCGAAACAATCACAGCCTATCAAGAAGGGGAGGGGATGGCACTTGGAGCTAGAAAAGCAAACACCGTCCTCAAAAAAATAAAATAAACAAACACACACACAAAAAGAAAAACAAAATTTGGGGCTGTAGGGGCTGGCCACTGGATTGGGGCAGACACTGGCAGCAGTGAGCTAGTGTCTCTCTGGCCAAGCAAGCTTGACCCATTGGCAAGCAGTGGGTGGCAATCAGCAGGGGGCCATGTAGAGGGAAGAAAGGTAGGGGATGGGAAAGCCTGTATCCTGGGATCGCTAGTTACTGGATGTTCTGTCTCCTTCTGGGAGCTCCGTGGAGTTGCCCTCCCAGACTCCCTGAGTTCTTTGGTGGCTGTAGCCCAAGTTGGCGAACTTTTGTGGTGGTGAGCTGATATCTCCCCAGCTGAGCAGCCTTGGCCTAATGGGAATTGGCAGAGGTCTTGTACAGGGAAGAAGTGTGTAGGGTGGGTAAACATGTATCCCTGGTTACCGAGTGCTTGTCTCCTGTTGGAAGCTCCATGGAGTTGCCTTCCTGGACTCCCTGTCTGAGTTCTTTGGTGACTAAAGTCCAAGATGGCGAATCTGGCCATTTAGCTAGTATGAGACCTCTGCTCTGTAGCTCTCCTGGTTCTCTGTCTCTGTGAGTTTCTTATTCTATTCAGTGCTTGACTGAGATTTTATTCCTTCCTTTGGTACTTAGGGTTCTAGGACTGACGTTTGTGTCTGTTTTACTTAGTTTTTCAGGCCTTTGCTGCAGATGAAGAGCATGGTCCTTCTGTGTATAGTGCCATGTTGACTCCGCCTATGATTTATATTTGAAAGTGGGAACTTAACATTTGAGGAACTCCAGAAAGTGTTTTCATTAAATTTAAGTCTCAATAAGAAAAAAAATACAGACATCATTTATAACCCATGTGCTGAAATAATTTTTTTTTAAATATTTATAGGTTTGATCCATCACTTGTGAATGTGCATATTGCTATTACTACAGGCTACCTCATTTCTGGTATGTAATATGTAGTTTACTGTTTATTTCTTTTTAAAATATTCATGGGATTATGCAAAGAATACATAGCGTATGCTTTTGGCTTATTTATTTGAGGAGGAAGCTTTTAGAATCCATACAGAGGAAAAAAAAGTTAGCTTTCTCTACTACGCCTGATCTCAGGCAAAGATCATAGTTGCAGAGTGAAGCCCCAGACAATAGAGGCCCAGATATTTTTTACTAGTGACAGGCCCTTTGTAGGTCCCTGGGAGATGCAAACAGTTTGCTCTCGCCTGCTAACCAAAAAGTTGGCAGTTCAAACCCACAGAGTGCTGTCATGGAAGATAGGCCTGCTGATCTGCTTCCATAAGGATTACAGCCAAGAAAACCCTATGGAGCTCAGTTCTAGTCTGTAACACACGGGGTTGCCATGAGTGGGAATCAGTGAGTTTGGATTTTGTTTTGTTTTGTTATGTTTGTCTCTTTGTGTCCTAAGAGTCTCTCAGATGGAATTAACTGTGAAGCTAAAGAAGTTTAGGCTTCAGAGTCCCTCGCTTGCAAGGGCCCTTGAATGGTGCTCCTGTGCTGATTGTTTTGTTTTGTTAAAATTTGCAAAATTGAGCTGTTTTAGCCACAATCAATTAAAATCCAGACTTTTTTCTAATCCACATTCACCTCTCTCTTATTTCCCTTCATGTTAGATGGAGTTGGAGTGGCCAAGGGCATTTCTACAATCAGGTAAAGGGAAAGTTGGGAACATATACCATTTTAACTGCAAAAGACATTGCGACCATCTCAGTAAAACAAGAGAGAAATAACAGATTCCTGATTTGGACATTTATATAGGATGTGTATTTTGTAATTTTCAAAATTATTAAAAAATAGAGAGAAAATCAAATAAAAATAATGGAATATGAAACAAAAATGATAAACAAAATCAATCAACATTTTTCTACCACTGAGAAGTGAATTGCAATCAAAATAATTAGATCATACCAAAATGCAGTAATTCATTAAGAGGAAGAGATAAATTTTGAATAGAAATAATTAATAGGTTATTGGATTATCTAATAATCCAATTAAAAGAAAAGTAAACCATGTGGAGACATTGGAAAAAGATTTTCTGGTTTGACACAAAATGTTGTCTTTGTCCAGGATAACACAAAATTCATAATACACCACATACACTGGTTAATGAACGGTGTCAATTCTGAAAGTAGTTACTACCCAGGAAATCTTGTATGAAAGAAACTTGATAAAGGTTTTCTCAAATAAGATAATCCAAAAAATTTACAAAGAAGAGCTATGAAGCTGAAAGAAACTTTTCTAAAGTATCAGGAATTTTCAAAAGCTGAATGAGAAGTGAATTCCTTTTATTCCTTCTACAGAAAATACTATAAAATCATCATATAAATTGATGACCAAAGAGTTTGCAGGCAAAATCTGTAGCGAAAACATCCTTGGAGAGGTATATCAGATGGTCAATTAAAAAAGAAACCATTGCCGTCGAGTTGATTCTGACTGATAGTGACCCTGTAGGACAAAGTAGAACTGCCCCTTAGGGTTTCCAAGGAGTGTCTGGTGGATTTGAACGGCTAATATTTTGGTTAGCAGCTGAGCTCTTAACCACTGTGCCACCAGGGCTGTTCTATTACTTTTCTGGATATTTCACATTTGTGGTATTTATTTTTCTCTTTAACACTTGTAATTTGATGATATATTATTTCTTTGTAAGTATTCATATCTAATTTTTTATTTGAAATTATTATTTTTATAAGAGAAGGTCCCACTTTATATAATAAGCTTTAGACCTCACAAAACCTGAATTCTCGCCCTCATGTCCATCCATGTTAGCCATTTGTTTCCCTGTCCAAATTTCATATTAACCAGTTGGTTAAAAAGACAAAAAATAAAAAGTGACATTGACATTATGAGACTCTTCTGTTTCGTTATATTTCCTAAATCATGATATTTCGATTCAGGAGCTTTTAAGGAAAAACCGATGTCATGACCTCGCGGTGGTGTTGCAATTTTAAATTAACATTTAATTTGTCCTTTGCTCATTTTCTATATTTTTTGTTGAATTTGTTTTATAAATCAGTTGGTCATTTTCTACGTTTTCTGCCACCATCTTATCTCTGTCTGAATTAATACAATAATTAAAATCAATAATATAAGCTTTAAAAAATTATTTGATAATATTTTCATTTTATTTAACACTGAAAACAAGTTATCAATTTATTCATTCAACAAATACTATGTTAAATGCTTATATGCCAGACCCTGTGGTTCCTTGGGTATCACAAATGGTTTTTGCTTTGCTACTAGCTGAAAGGTTGAAGGTTCAAACCCACCCAGGGGCACATCCCAAGAACGCTCTGCTTATCTGCTTCTTCAGAGATTACAGCCAAGAAAACCCTCTGGAGCGTGGTTCTCCTCTGTAACACACCGCGTCACCATGAGTTGGAACTGACTCAATGGCAACAGGTTTTTGGTTTGGTGCTAGATTCTGTGAGTATAAAGATGCCTACAACTCGGCTGTCATCCTGAAGGAACCACAGTATAGTGGTTGTTATTTTTGTCATTAGATATGTACTGTTAACTCCGTGTACAACAGGATGGGACCATTGTGATCCGTAGGTTTTCAGTAGCTGCTTTTTCAGTATTAGGTTGCCAGCCTTTTCTTCCTAGTCTTCGGCATCATAGCAACATGCAGTCCTCCACTGATGGATAGGTGGTAGCTGAGCATGAGGTACACTGGCTGGTAATCAAACCTGGGTCCCCGAGTGGAAGGCAAAAATTCTACCACTGAACCACCAATGCCCCCTGTCATGGATTGAATTGTGGCCCCCAAAAATATGTGTCAACTTGATTAGGCCAGGATTCCCAGTATTCTGTGGTTGTCCTCCATTTTATGATTGTAATTTTATGTTAAAGAGGATTAGGGTGGGTTTGTAACACCCTTACTAAGGTCACATCCCTGATCCAATGTAAAGGGAGTTTCCCTGCAGTGTGGCCTGCCCCACGTTTTATCTTATAAGAGATAAAAGCAAAGGGAAGCAAGCAGAGAGTGGGGACCTCATACCACCAAGAATGAAGTTCTGGGAGCAGAGTGCATGCTTTGGAACTGAGGTTCCTGCACTGAGATTCTCCCAGACCAAGGGAACACTGACGACCAGGACCTTCCTCCAGTGCCGACAGAGAAGGCCTTCCCCTGGAGCTGACGCCTTGAATTTGGACTTCTAGCCTACTTTACTGTGAAGAAATAAATTTCTCTTTGTTAAAGCCATCCACTTGTGGTAATTCTGTTATAGCAGCACTAGATAACTAAGACACCCTCCAACTCCATAGTGGGTGAACAGTTCTATCAAAGCAAATACTTTACCAAAAAATGGGATGTTGGACTAGCAGAGGTATGAACAAACTGCTGCGGGCTCAGAGTAGACAGTGATGAAGTGCCAGAGGAAAGAGTTGAATACATTTGGGTAACAATGCAGCTTTCTTCCTGTGTAATATCTTACTAATTTTTCCTTCTAACAAATTTGTTGCTTCGTATTTTCTGTTGGACAACGATTGGTGAGATTGTTTATGTAATTTACCGTTGCGCAGTCCTGTATATATTCTGCCTTCTACTGGTGAGTGCCGTTTTGCAATAGCCTAACAAGCAGACAAGATTGGGTATAGTGGACTTCAGGGTGAACATAAGCCTAAACATACAATTCTTAATTTATAAAGACCAACTCCAAACCCATTCAGGGATCACTTCTGTGATATGTTATCTTGTTTGTTAAAATAATAACGTGTGTCTGTATTGCTGTAACTTTTTGGATTTACAAATTTTTAGAAAGACAAAAGACCCCAATATTTTGAATTTTTACTTAAAACTTTGAGGATTATGTAGATAATAGACTTTGTCTGTTTTTCTAGATGCATTCATGATTTAGCAGTCAGGGGAAGGTATAGATTCCTGTATGACCAGTTAAATTATTTCTTTTCTGCTTAACATTCATTAGTTAAGTGGGTTGTAGCAATGGGAGTGTCTTGCTCAGAGACTTCATCAGAATTTCAGGACTGAGCTTAAAGCAGTAAATCTCAGGCATAAAGCATATGAAATTCTATATCTAAAACTATTTTTCTACATATACATTTGTAAATTAGCAATTTTATATCCCTTGCGTGTTTGTTTGGTTTCTTGATAATCAATTAGTTTTCAACCTATATATACCACCAAGCTGAAAATATATATTGGGAAGTAATACATGTATGTAAATGAGAATTTTATAAATTTCATGTAATAGACATGACATAAAAGTCGATGTTTTAAAACTTAAATGTAATTTCTGGCTATTTATTTTCTTTGTTAGTTATTACTAAAATCCTTGCATTACTGGATATTTGTGGCTATTTGAGGATTTTAAAAAAATTCATACAAATGTGTATTAATATTTTTCTATTTTTCTTAATGTTGACTCCCACAAAGATGGTGACTCCGAAGCTAATTTGTCATTATTTCTGCAAGAATCAGATATATCAAAGCATCTCTCCACATTAACCCATTTGAAGTCACAAATTTAAATAACATAAATGTTTTAAAAACTATATGGGTTTTAATGTATTAAAATAGGTGCTTCTGTACCTGTAAAAAGACATCCATAATCCCTTTATTTTTCTGAAGAAATAGTCTATTTTTTATGGCATTTCCTACTGTTTATTCCTTCACCTTCTTTTTTTTAAATTTTAATAGATAGTAGATAGTTAAAAATATAGCTTCTTAGTTTGAAATTCTAATGATGACAATAGGAAATATCCTTTCAGGAAACCTAACAAAATATTTTCCAATCCTGTGGCAAGTTCAAGATTTTTACTATTTTCTTAAATATCATAGCCATTAATATAGTACCAGTTTAAGATGAATCAAAAGACTTCTTCCTTTTACAGGTCTTAGATATTTGGTATATGGGCACTTTATTTCTTAAGTACGCTTTCTAAAAAAGGGTGCAAACTAATTAACAAAATACAGGTGACTCTGGAAAGAATGTGTATAGGTAGCCAGGTGAGTTTAATCTCAGACTGTAACTTAGAAATATGTTCTCGGAACATGAGTCACACAATCAATGTGTTATGAAAAGAGTATAAGCTGGTGAAAGATAACAAATTACTTACACACTTTTTTAAATGTGAATATTATGATTGCTGTTCTCTGTTGGCCACCGAAATCACAGGCTTAGTAAATGGACTGGCAAGTTGAATGTTTAATCATGTGGGATAAATATTTTCTTTCTCTTTTCATTTTTATACTTTTTTAAAAACCAATAAAATACATGCTGGGTTTTTAAAAAAGAGATTAAGTGTTGCCTTAGTTAGTAAAATTGATAAGTAAAGGAAATCAACAGCATTTTATTTATTTTTTTTGTTTAAAGATGGTTGATGCTTCTTTGGTGCTTTCCTGTGTTTTCTTCTTTTAGTATGAAATAAATTGTTCTAATTAAAGCAAAGCTACTCGCAGGGAACCAAAATAGAAAAAATTAGATGAAATGATGAATGATTCCATGCAAGGAAATTCTGTGTTGTATCTATTTTCAGACCCTACGTACTGGATTTTTCATGCAGTGACTCCCTAGGTCTCTTTGTGCATTTTGTTATTCTAGGTAAGCCTAACAAAACAGTTCTGCAAACCATGATGAAATCCTTGTCACGTATAGAATGAGAACTGGTATTTGGAAAGCACTTTACTTGAT